AGTAACCAGACAGACCAAGGAACCCTCGAAGTTCTTTAATAGTACGTAAAGTAGGCCAAGCACTGACAGCCTTCAACTTAGAATCATCTGCTGCCACTTTCCCTTCAAAAATCACATGCCCCAAGTATTCAATTCGGGTAGTGGCAAAGGCACATTTTGACTGCTTCACAAAAAACTGGTACTTGCTTAGAATGTCAAAAATAGAGCGAAGGTGTCGCACATAGGTCTCAATATCTGGACTGTAGACTAGAATATCATCAAAGAACACTAATACATATTTACGTAATAGTCCCTCAAATATTGTATTCATAATAGCCTGAAAAGTAGATGGAGCATTGGTAAAACCAAAAGGCATCACCAAGTATTCATAATGCCCCGCGTGTGTTTGAAATGCTGTCTTGTGAATATCCTCATCCTTCATTCGAATCTGATGGTAACCTGAACGTAAATCAAGCTTTGAAAAAACACGAGCTGCAGCCAACTCGTCTAAAAGATCTTCAATAAGTGGAATGGGAAAGCTATCCCTCACTGTAGCCTGATTTAATGCCCGATAGTCCACGCACATACGCCAACTACCATCTTTTTTTTTTTACTAAGACAACGGGAGATGCAAATGGTGACGTAGAATGCTGTATGATACCTTGGTCGAGCATATCTTTGACCATCTTTTCAATTACATCCTTCTGGGTAGTTGGATAATGGTAGGGACGCAGTTTAATGGGTGTAGTTCCAGCCTTTAAAGGAATGCAATGGTCATGACCATTGCGTTTGGGTGGTAATGATATAGGCTCATGAAACAGAGCATCATAAGAGCTCAATAATTGAGTGATGAGCTCAGGCATTGGAACTGATGATGATACAGCAATGGAATGGCAACTTCCTTGAGCAGCACAAGGAATGACTTGGACCCCAAAAACATTAGGATCTGAGTGTAGGAGTTTTGACATTTTTTTCTCAGTTACCACTCTGTTTTTTTGGTGTTTTTATAGTTGTCAACGTGACCAACCTCCCCTGCTACTGAAACGCCATACTAAGTTGCTTGCAATCAAGATGAATAAGGCCCAACTCACATAACCATTGCATACCAAGCACCATATCAGACCCCGCAAGAGGTAGCAAAATCACATCAACAGCAAATGTAACACCATGGGTGACCCATGGCAATGCACGACAACATGCAGACCCAAGTAAACTTGACCCACCAGCAACCGAAACGGTGAGTGGTGGAATTAACTCTATTTCTGCTCCAACCTCTCGAGCAATTTGTGAGTGAAGGAAATTATGGGTACTACCTGTGTCAATCAATACATGAATGACACGTTTCCCAATACGACCTACCACCCGCATGGTGCTATAATCTAAGGAACCATACATTGCATTCAGAGAAATGATAGGGATAAAGGAAGACCCCTCACCCTCAATGCTAGTAGTACCTTCCGACTCATTATCAAGCGACTGCACCCCAACAGACTGGTCATCAAGAGCATCTTTCACTAATTCCATAAGGAAAATCTGTGAACCACACTTTTGTACACAATCATAACCAGGTGAATATTTCTCCTTACAGTAATAACAAAGATTCTTAGCACGACATTCTTCAAGTTCCTTTGGCGTTAGCTTTTGTTTAAAGGAGAAATTTGAATGACCCATGTTCTTACTATTATTCAAGTTGCTCGACACATTGGAAGTGGATGAGAAACCCCGTCTTGGATCTGTAGCTGCATACTTATCCTTGGAGGGATATGTTAGTGCCTTAATGGGGGGCGGGGATGGACAGTAAACCCTTCGATGAATTTGGAGGTGGGAGAGACTTACCCGATGATTTAAGTGGGTACTGCTATAAAGAATCCAAGTGTGACTCTTGAAGACGAGCCAACTTTGAAGCTTCCAGCAAAGATTATGGACGTAGCAATTTCACCCCCGAAGCTATCTCAAGACGAAGGCCGCCGATGAAACATCCAATCTTACGAACCTCCGGCAAGTCAAGTTTGCACATTAGATTGTCAAACTCTAGTTGATATTCAGACAGCCGTCCATGCTGGCGAAGATGCATCAGCTCTTCCATTAGGTCTTCGTTCAGAGGTCCATAGCGAATCTTAATGGCCTCAACAAATGTCAGCCATGGAACTATTCCATTCAGACTTTTCTCAAAGTGTTGGTACCACTTATAGGCAGCGTCATCTAGTGCTATGCTTGCCATGACAGTCCGTCGAGCATTCGGAGTGCCGTCAAGCAAGAAAAAACGCTCACACTTAGCCAACCAAGCCTCCACATCTATGGAAGAAAAATTGGGAAAATCAAGCTTGGTATATCATGTGGGTACCTGATAGTCCCCATCTCGGTGATCGTGCCGTCCGCGATCTCGAGGAACTTGAATATCCGCAAACTGTATGGACAAACGTCAGACCACATCTTGGAGACCCAGCATTTGCGTACGTAACTCCTGCACACCTTCTAATTACCCTTCAATCTGAGACAAACGGACATCCATTTCAATGTATAACCTATCTTCAAGCTCCTTCAGTACAGTTACCGAGCGAGTACCATCAGCCATGGGATCGACTGCTCTGATACCAGTGATAAGCAGAAAACAAAAAATAGAGATAGGGCAAGAGGAGATGTAACAGACGAGAGAGAGAAAAGAAGAGAGCAGGGAAAATTCTCATTCTCAATTTGCATAACTGATACGTGTAGCGATGTGACCTATAAAACAGAAAAGCTCACGTGCCAATCATTGGGTAAAGGTCCCCACAAACTAAAACGGATAGGACAAAAGTAATTACAAAATATTCAGTATTTATTTAATATCCTATCATCAGTCGACCTAAGATAGCAAATAATCTAATATTTAAGTGGGCGAACTGAAAATGGAATTTGTAGTCATAGAGAACAACGACCAACAGGAAGATGTTGCAAGAAACTCGAATAGAATCTGAGATGCAAAGTCTTTTAAGATCTTCGAAGCAGATCTCAAGTAGGTACCACACAATAAGGCTTATATTCTTCCTTTAAAGAGAGGAGCGACATGAATCTTTTAGGGCGCACCGCAAACCCACCAATGACCCCAAAACCCCAAAACAATCCCACGATACCGCCAATCAATACATTGAGGACACCAACCAAGTCATTGCTTATGTAGAGTTGTAGACCACCGCAATTCCAATGGCATTTGCTATCCTTCCCAACCGGAACGAATCCAATTGGTTGCAGCACAAAGGCCATAGAACACGAACGATTGTTGAGTCACATGATCTGGAGTCATCGCTCGATTCGTTGAATTCCTGTGGCTCCTCCATTTTCCCTTTTCTCTCAGGGCTTCTTCTCCACCGTTGGGAGATGATTACAACAGTTGCCGTCGGCGATGATGAAGGTTTGCAGTTTTTGAGTTTTTCAATACCGCCATCTTCTTTCATCACTTCCTATTTTTAGGGTTTTGTTCGCGTCAAGGGAGAACCGCTTTGAAGAGGATGAATTGCTTGAAAGTTTCAAAGAGATCTTTCTGTCAAAATGCAGCACTTTAGTGAAGACGAGTCAGAAGAAACAATCTTGAATGAAACGCATCATTTTGGATGAGCCTTTCACTAAGCTCTTGAATTGAACTAGGGATCTGAATCTTGAAAATCCAACCCATTTCTTGATTACAGGTATACAAAAGCTTTTACTCAATTAAGGCCAATAAAACATAACCTGCTCATGATACCATGTTAAGTTAAACAAAACTATATGGGTTAACAATACAAACAATAAACCCAAATCAATATTAACAAAGAGATCAACAATATCAATCTATCCTTAACTAAAGGGTGATGATAACTAACCCCACATGGGGTGAGGTGAGGTTACACAATATACCTCCCTACCTCAATACATTATACTTAACCCTATATATATAGGATCTAAGGATCAAATTAGGTAATTAATAAATTAAGTTCCTTGACCAATTTAACCTTCCAACAATTACATTAAGTATATGATCTTTGTCACGCCTTAAAAATTAGACGTGACCGGCACAGGATATATGCACAAACATACACCCCTTAAGCCTTAAGCAAGAAAATTCTAATTTAATATCTTAATTCATTTGAAATAGGGTTGGAAATCATAGTAACATTTTCTTTTTCATACAAACAAAAGTCACTAAGCTAGATGTAGGGATTTTCGTACAACTTCCTCTGTAAATAGGACACCTCGAATCTATACAATAACTATTTACAAATAAATTAATGATACGAAACTTTGCTCCTCAACAACAGGCAATCTATATAAATTTACAAAAACTAGAATTACTTCTATAGTTAATGTGGAGCACCTAAATTATTGTCTCAACATAAAACACATAATTGAAAATATACATAAAAAGAAAAGACATTTTCAAATAAATATTCACCTAATACAGTAGCAAGCCTTTCAATGATTGGCAGGATGTTCATCGTCAACTAATGAATCTGAGAGCAAAAATATATTTTTTCTAGTGAATAGCATCCCCAATGAATAAATTTTAAAGAAAGATAAATAAATAAATAAATTCAAGAATGATGTGAAATAATTGAAACGAGAATAATTCTATATAAAAAAAACTTGCTTTTGAAATCATAATCATAACCGTAAAGATGAGAGTAAACTAAAATTTCATGATTTTAATTATACTTAAGAAAATAATTGATTATACATAAATAGAAGTGGTACACTTGTTAATTAAAACTATTGAAATTTCAAGTGCACAAGTTGATTAAAACTTTAGAATTTTGAGGACTTAACAGGACAGGTAACAAACATGGACACACAGTCAACGAGGGTAAATAACCAAATGTGGCTTATGTCATGAAAACAAATGTGAACACACAGTCCACGAGGACAAGTAACCAAACGCAGTCAAAGCCATGAAACAAACGTGGACACATAATCCATGAGGGTAATGCTAACCAAACGCGGCTCGAAGCCACGAAACAAACGTGAGTACGATGCTCACGAATAACCATCCCTCCGTTCCATGTGCGTTGGCCATCGCACGGGGCTAGCACCTCCTGTAAACACCCTGCTAGCTAGGTGTACCATGACGCGCCAAGGGCTAACGGGACTGCCGTTAGCATCCAGTGTTCTGTATAAAGTCCTTTAAAAATCACTTTTCAAACATGCGAGAAGAATTATTTTTTAAATACAATTTGCATTCTCAATATCAAACTCGCATGAATCATTTCAAATCTCAAAGCTTGCCAGAATAATATTTCATAGCTAATGTACAAGCTTGTATTAGTTGAGTAACTATGAATTTTCAGAGTAAAATAAACAAAAATGCCTTCATCAAGCTTGAAAATATATTTCGTAAAGAAAATACATGCATATACCATAATTTAATTAACTTTCATCATCATTTTATAATTTCCAGAACCAAAATGATTTAATTAACAAAGTACATAATAATCATCATAGTTGTTAAAATAATTTATATAAAAATGTAATATTTTTAAAAATAGACTACTTTTATTAAAAAAAAATAATGGGATGCTATTCACTTACCTGTACTATCCCCAAGTACAAATTCACTCTTTAAAGTCAAGTCTTATTTCTTCTAAACACCTTTCTATCAGCAGCAGAAAAAGCAAGGAGAGAAAAAGGATCGCACAACATTGAACAGGGGAGGAAAGGATTCTGACATAGCTACAGCGAGAAAGGAAAATGAGAGGCTAACAGCAACATCTAACGGCAACACCACAAGCTTCTCCAGCGACCAAGCCCTTCCGCAACCTCTGACACATACACCGACAGGGGATATCGAACAGAGACATGAAGGATGATATCTGAGATCCTAAACAATAGTACCCCAAAGAAGTAGACAAGAAAGAACGGCGGTGAATGGATTTCTTACCACCCTCGCCGGCGACGCTTATGATAGAAGAAGTATGTGGAGGAAGAACAAAGTTCTCTCATTTTCTCAGTGGTTTCTGGAGCTCTCTATAAAATAGAGGTGCAGAACAAGGAAGGAAGGAAGGAAGAAGTTGCACAAACACCTCAGCAACGACGGACGGGACTTTGATGCTCTAGTGCCGACGACGCGGTGAGGCAGAGGAAGGAGAAGACAAGAACGAAGCTTCTGGTCTCACAGTTCTCTCTCTCTATCTCTCTCCCCAATGCTTCCGTGAACACTGACTGGGGAAGGGAAAATAAAATATCTTCTGCTGCCAGGGACCTAATGGTAATTTTGTAAAGGTAAAAGAAATCCCACTCCTCGTAAGGAGGATTCAAACCTGAAACCTCAAGTTAAATATCAAGAGTTCTTGCCATTGAACCATCAATTTACCTTGATGAATTTACCTCCAAAATATATATATATATATATATATTATAACATACCTTATCATTCAGTTAATTTATTTATTATTTATTATTATTGTTGTTATTTTTTTTAGGTTATTACAATCTTGGTAGCCAGAAATGAAATTCAAAAAATGACAATACTCACTACTATTGAATTTAACAACACCAAGAGGATTAAATGTTGATGATTGTGGTTGAGACTTATTCCAAGGATAGCATCCCTGCCTCCAAAGGCAAGGACCACTTTCATATATTTCCTAAGCACACACTTGGCAATCATCTCATTTCTATATGTATATGTCAAAGTAACGAAGTGAAGATGTTGGCCACTGAAAACTACAAAAATGCAATTTTCTCTACTGAAACAGATCTACGAGGAAACTGAATTCAAACATTTGATCATATTTGAGATAACGCCGTTCAAGATCATGATGCTTATCTTTGCAATGAAAAAATAGATCACAATTCTTTGGTAATTTATTAAAGATTTGCACTGTTTTTTCAAAAAGTGAGGACTCACCATCGCCACTGGCTTTCAACATTGCAACAGCTATAACTAATAGCAGAAGTAGAGATCTCACATTTGGAGCCATATATTGTCTTCTGAATTGATGGTGCAAATGCACACCACAAAACTCTCTTTTACATGACTATTCAGTAGTTAATTCATTCAGTCCAAATAAGGAATATTTATTATGGGGAGATTAATGATTTATTACACTCAAAACAATATTTACGAGTATTAATTTAAAGATATGAAATTAATAGCTTAATACACCACAAAAAAAATTGATTTTCAGCACTAAAAAGTTACCACTGAAAGTTTTCAGCAGCAACAAAAAATCACCATAATATCACCGTAAAAGCTCTTGTCGTTGATTTTATTTGCGATGACAATAAAAGCTGCCACTAAAAGTTGAGAGCAGAAAAGAAAATTTATTGTCACAGAAAGATAGTCACCACTGAAAGTTGATGTCAGACCCTGAAAATAAAGCGTGACCAGTATGATATATAGGAACAAAACCCATATCCTGAAATGTCTCAACTTAAGAAACTCTAATTTTTAAATTATGAAGGCATCTGACAACAACATTAATCATTTTTTTAATAATAAGAACAAAAGATTCAATATCTTTTTAAAAAATTATACCAAAACCTCCCTTGAAAATATGACCTTTCGAAAATACTACAACATCATTTCTCAATACAAATAGCATCAACAAGGTGTTTTTCTCCTTCTAACAAACAAATTATACATAATACACATAAGGGTTCTAACTATAGCTATGTGGAGCAACTAGAACAAAATTTACAAAATACCCCATGCATAATTTAAATTTACATCGACCACTTCTTCACTTAAGTCAAACGATAGCCCCTCAATGATTAGCTAAAGATACATTGTTAGCTATAATGTTTGTGTAATAACCCAAGAATTTTAAGCAAAATAAAAAAAATATATTATTGTGGTTGAATTGTAGTTATATTAATGTTGGGACAATTATAACAAGAAGAGGTGTTGGTATAGCGGAAATATGCATATATCTTTTACATTTGATCTTAATTCGAACCGGGGTGAAGCCAGAAAGGAGTAAATTATTTTTTATTTTTATATTGTGAAATTATGAAACTACCCTTGTCTCTACAGATTCTTTCTTCCTTTCTTTTTTTCTCTATCTCTGGCACAATTCAACATTTAGGGCTCTGTAGAAAATTCTAGATTCTCTCATCCCTCACCTTTTGCCTTCTCCATCTCCTCCTACTTCTATCCGCAGCATCGCTGGTATAAGAGTGGGCCAGAATACCGTCCGATGCTTCTCTGCCAAGTTTGAGCTCTTTCTTTTTCCTTCTCTATTTCAGATCAGCGAGGTCATTTTTTTTCCTCTGCCATCTCCAGACCTTTGATCTTTCTTCTTCATCCCTTGCTATCGCCGACGAGAGAGACGAATTGCTGTGAGGTTACTGTCGCTGTGCGATATCCAGGTTCTTCATCGTTCTTCTCTGTCTCTGTTTGTCTTTTGCATTGTTGCTCTGTTTTTGCTATTCTCATGAATGTAGCTGGTGTGCGTGAGAGTCAGGTTGCCAACACTGCAAACGTGGGCTGTGATCGTCCACTCTTAGTAGTCCCAGTCGTGAATCCATAGTTCTTCACTCTGCCATCGATCTCTGCGCTTCTCTTCACTGTTTGTGCTGTTGAAGTTTCTTCTTATTCCTTCATCCTTCCCATTCGTAAGTGAGAAATGAATGAAGGGCTAGTGTGATGCTATGGGAGGATTGATTCTTGGGTAAGAGGCTAGTTTAATGTTGTTATTTTTTCCCCTGTTCAGCTATGGTTGCATTTTCTTCTGCCCATTTGTGTTACGTTGATGCATCTAAAGGGAGCAACTTTGATTTTTTTTTTTCTTTTCTTTATTGAATCTGTGAGTGTGTGAGGTTATAGAGTTGAATGGAAAATTTTTCTTTTGTGTTTTGTTGATACTCATGGCTATTTGTTCAAATATGAAGGGGAGGCTTGAATCAGGAAAAAAACAAGAAGAAAAAACAAAGAGAAATGAAAAGGATGATGTAGATTTGAGATTTAATTGAATTTGATCTGATTATTGGCTATAATACTGACCTTATGAAATCTTTGAAAGTGAAGTTGATGAGGAAGAAGGTGGTATTTGTTTAAGTTATAATGCCCATAAAGTGTTTGATTAAATGTCTATTAGGAGAATGTTGTTTGACATTATAATTATTAAAAATTTCATTAAATTACTTGGAAGACATAATTGGTTGGAATGCTATTATCTTATGAACTTAGTTTGAAATTTACAAAAGGAGATATTTGAGTGGGTATTTTTCTATAATTTTGTTGGATCTTGCAAGAAACATGAATTAGCTTGGGTATTGTTCATTTGTGAATTTGAGTCAAATATTGTGAAGAAATTTATTTATGTTATTGAGAGATTAAGTGAATTCTTGAAAGTTTTATGGTTATTAATTTATAAAGTGCAGTGTTGTCTTATAATTTAATCTTGGAATCGAATTAGAATTGGAAAGAAATCTTTATAATTATAGGAATTTAATTAAATTGCATTATCTTATATTCTTATAGGGGGTTTGAAAGAAGAAGATTTTGATAAGAATTATAAGGGATAAAATCTTTGAAAATTTGGGAATACCATAGGTAAGTGGATAACGTCCCAATCAATATATATTGGAAATTTCTTTCTTTATCAAAAGATCGTTTTTAATAATTTATAGATATTTATAAATTTCTCTTACTTTAGCTACTTTTGTTAATTAAATTGCTCTATTTCTTAAAGTCATGACTTATATTTTTTATATTGATGAAAATGCTTTCTTAAATTCTAGTAGTGCTTTATTTGATAAGGTCAATTATAAAAATTTGTGAACAGTTTATGAGATATTAATTGTGAATTTTTATATTTAGAAATATTGGTTCTTTTATATGTTTCATGCGAGTTAGATTTTAAAAAGAGAAAAGGTATTTTGAAAGTGATAATTTTTTTGCATGTCTGAAAGTGAATTTAAAAAGGAGACTGTATACAAAACACTGATTGCTAACGGCAGTTTTGTTAGCTCTTGGCACGCCATGGTCAATTACTAGCTAGTTTGGATTTCGTGAGCTTTGTTCTCATGTCTGTTATTCATGGGTCTTGTACCTGCATCTGTTTCGTGGCTTTGACCACATCTGGTTAGTTACCCTCGCGGACTATGTGTCCACGTCTGTTTCGTGGCTTTGACTGTGTCTAGTTACTTACCCTTGTGGACTGTGAGTCCACGTTTGTTTTCGTGGCATAAGTCGCGTTTGGTGATTTATCCTCGTGGACTATGTGTCCACGTTTGTTACTTGTTCTGATAAGTCCCTATAATTATGAGTTTTTAAATTTTTATGGATCTAATTTCATTGGTTTTGATTAATGACATGTTTACAATTATTTATTGTAATTATTCTCTTTATTAAAGTTAAATGATAATGACATTTGATAAGATACTTTAATAAATTATGATTTTATTTAAAGTTACATAGAATCCTTTTATTCCGAATTTATTTAAATCTTCATGGAGATCATTTTTTTTAATTTTCCTTTTATTCATGTTTAATTATTTATTATTGGGACGTTATTCACTGAAAAATAATTTTGGTCGCAGATAGTGTAGTTGATGCTGAATCACCTACTGAACATTGAGGAGTTTGTGATTGATTAGAAGTAGAGGAACTAAGGATTAAACTTTCTTTTGACGTAAAGTTTTAATTATGAAATTTATTTTGTAAACTTATTGTTAGGTGCTCCACATAGTTTATGGTCAGGTTGTTTATGTGGTTATATATTTTGTCTGTTAGTTGGAAGGAGCTCTACTCTTGATTAGCTTGATAGTTTTGGTTGAAATATTGTCTTGTAGAATTTTTGGGAGATCTTATTTACAGAGGAGATTCTGCCAAAATTTCTACAAAAAAAAATTATTGAGACTTTTATTACTACCAAAAATGTTTACGTATGTTCTAATTCCAACTAAAACATAATTATTTTTTAGTTATGAAAAGATTACCCAATCTGAGGCTTAATGGATGTGTGATGGATCACATCCTTTGCCGGTCACCCTCTATTTTTGAGGTGTGATAGTTTGAGACCAAACAAAATAGTTTTTCACTGAATAACATCCTAAATAAAGATAACATTTAAGAGAATAAATCAAATAAACTTATGCAATTATGTAAATAATTCGAAAGAAAAGAATATCTCCAGGAATTAAAATCATAAACTAATAAATTTACAATAAC